TCTTCCCCAACCGGTTGACCTCCAGAAGCTTTGGACTACGACTTATCATGCTGACTAGGAATGATGGCAGTCAAAAATCCAAACTATCTGGAGGACAACAAATTGGGAGAAATTGCTCCAAATTAGTCACTATATACCACTTCATTTCAGACAGCATTCAAGAAGCAGCCCCAAATTCCTCAACATTTCAAAGTGTTTGCTTTGGGGGCGGGGGGCAATTGTTGTTGGTTCAGACCCTGACAATGTTCTACAAGAATTATTGAATGTACAAGCCTTACTGAAAACACTTATATCCATTTGCCTCTGTCAGCTATAAGCTGCAAACAGGAAATAATAAGTTGTCACCGTGCATTATCTTTTTTTTCTAACTGCTGTAATTAAATATTTTGTTTAAAACCACATGCTGTGCAGAATAGGTACTCTGATAAAGCTTCTATATGAAACAAATTATATGCATGCAGTTAAGCATGCACACGAGGCAGGTTTCTGGCAGCAAATTAATGTCACATTCTAGCAAAGCACTGGGGATCTGCATTCCAACCTCTAAAATTTCCCCAATGATTGAAAGTAAGCAATTAAATAGAAATACAATTTATTGAAATGGCACTTTTGGAAAAATATTAAACACAATGATATTCATATGTTAGAGTTTTCCCCTATTTTTGGTTGACATTTGGTTTATTAGTATGCACCTACCATTACAACAAAAAGAAAACAGCTCAGAATATAGTCTTGCTATTATGCTAAACAAGTTTCAAGTCCTGCGGGGATTTTATAAATTACCAATAACTATAAACGTGACGTTGCATTTATTGTCTTCAGCCCTGCTATGTACTGGTACCTGCTGGTCCCAGCATGTATACAACTCATTCCATAAAGAAGAGAATTGATTATTTGTAAAGAACTAAAGAAAATGCATTATGGTTACATTTGTTTTCTATCACATCACTTGTAGGGAAAATTTATTTCCATGGTTGACATACACAATCATCTCTTCTTTTCTCAACAGCTGCTTCTAATATTTCTTATTTGTGTTAATTAATAGTATCAGGATTACTAGAGCATACATGAAAAGATGCAGGTAAAATAAAAGTGTTACATATCACAAGCCTTAAATATTGCACATAAAAAATGTTCTCCCCACCCCTTAACTCTTGCACTATCACAGACTGGTAGCAAAGACAGTCGCTATTTTGTGATTTATTGACAGGAGCTACTTCTCTAGGAGAAGTTAAGGGAAAAAAGGAGGGAAGAAGGGTTATTCCTCATTTGCTGACAATGTATTTAAATATGCTGCTCCAAAACTAAAGCTCAGCTAACAGAGTATTCATATGATCCTGGGAAGGTGTATCAGTGATGAAATGACAGTGTGGATATGCCTTTCTGAGGCTACAGATAGGGCTCTAACCCCAGAGAGGAAAATCTGAGCTTCCTTTTTCAGCTGCTCCCAGGAACTCTGACCTCAGGAAAGAGGAAAAAGAGGTACATTGAGGTGTGCTGAGCATGGAACAGGGAAGTGGCTGCGCACCACAGGATCCACAGCCACTCAGTCCCAAACAACACTCCCACACCTGGAACTGGTCAAAAATGATTTCCTCCCATTGCTTCCAAGTGTAAAGAAACAAAAGCATGTGGGTGGAAAGACACTGAAAGCTTTCTTTATTGTTACTTTGAGAATGTTGGTGACCTCATTGCCAGAGCTCCAACTAGCAGGAGCTTGCAAACAGTAGGATTGCTCTAAAAAAAACACCTGGCAACATTGCTTTTACAAACATAACTCACTAGAACTTAGGCAGAAATTGATGTTTCTATTACTGCTTACAATAAACTAAGTCAGCAATCCTACCCAGACTTACCTATGCAAACTTAATAGATATATAAAGGATTAATTTAGAAGATGCTGTTTCTTGAAGGTGGGTTTGCAACATCAGTAGCATATCCACAGAGATGGGGCAACATTCAGAAGTTTAAATTAATATACAGGTAGGTGTGTTTCCCTCCACAAGGACTATATGTTAAGCATCCATTTTAAAGTATTCATCTAATTAATTCAAAAAAGAGGTGAAAAAATTAGCCTATTTGTTTCAACTAAAACTACATACAACAGTATCTCCCTAAACACAAATTTATCCATTTTCTGCATACAAACATGTTTTGTGCTAAATGTTAAATAATTAATATTAACCACATTCTTTCCAATTTATAACTTGGATTATAATCTGAATTTACTTTATATTTCTAAATGATGTTAATTTTCAGAAAGATCACAGGGGAAAGTTAACAATAATGTTATATATTTTTCTGAAAATAGAGAATATGGCAAAAAAGCAAACCACCTCAAAGCAAATTTCCCAACAATTTTTACTGTAGTGGGACATGCTCCATAACTAAATATCTGAGGAATGGCTGATGATCTTAGTTTATTAAATGCTCAATATTCCATAAAAATGTTTAAAATTAAAATAAAATGATCCAACCAAAAATAAAACAAATAAAAGCAGTTTACAAAACAGTGTCATTGACATAGTGAGATGAAAATTAAATAGTAGTTTTTTTGTACAAGTAAAAATAAATCATTCCTACAAAACCAGCAATGAGCTCATCAAATTCAAATACAACTTTCCATTTATGTATTTTTTATATTAAAGCAATAAACATGGTTCATTTGTCTTTCACTGGTTGCCACGTTTTTCTGTGCTGTTGCTATGAACTTCAGCCATTAGCTGCGCTCCAAGGTAAACTACATGAACCATCAACAAAAGTGACACCCAATCTATGGAGTTCATATTTTCTCCAGATTATCTATGCTAGTTGACAAGCTGGTAATGAAAAAAATCACACTAAGCAAATGGTTCCTCTAATAACAATAAATTTTCTATAAAATTATGAAGGGTACAAAACGTTTCCTTGCATCTATTTTGTCATGAATTCTAATTAACGTTGCAAAAACCTGAGAGTGCTGGGTCATCACAAGAAGTGTATCAAAGCTTGATTGATAATATGGTGCATGTTGGCCTATGCTGCCAACGTTTCCTTCTTTTAAATTAATAGCCATCCCACCTGCCCTAATCATACAGCCCAAATGATATTCCCCTTCTTATTTCAATTTTCTGGAAGCATGGAAGCTGGTAAAGATCAGTCATTTATCTTCTAATAGCTGGATAATAGATCTATCACAATACAGCATCTGCAAAAACTCAGTTATTTTTTCACTACAACAGTAAATCTTTTACCAACACTAAATCAATAACTTTGGAAAACACTAGGTTACCCACACATTTGCAATCTGAACACTGCACATTACTTCTAGCATATCTGTTAAATATGTTAAAGAATGCACCTTTCTTTGCTCCATTTTCCCAAAGGCAATATTCCCGTTTAGAACACATCAGTAATCTCATCACAAAGCCATCACCAATTCTTCAACTCATTTTTAACAAGCAAATTATTTGACCTCCCAAGAGTCAGCTGCTGCAGATAATCCTATCTAGTATTCGCAGGACACATGGCTACTCAATTTGTTGTTAAAGAAAAATGTATTTACACCCACAGCTGGAGACCTCAAAAGCCCTTTGAACATCAATGAACCTAAAATCTGCTATAAAATAAGCAGTAAGTTATCCTGCTTCAACACACACCTTCACATCTTGTGGCTAAGGATAAAAGTAAATACTTTGTTTCTATCCAAGAAGCACGATAGCCACCATGCAGTGGCGACTGGTGACACTGTTTTCTTTCAGTCTTGGATCAGCCCAGGACCCTTACCTTCATTTACAGCTCTATGCTGAAACTATGACCAGGAGTGTATTCTTCCAATGCTACTTAATGATTTTTTTCTCTGAATGACACCTGGCAATAATCATGCATACTTTCATAACGGTGAATATTGACACAAACTCATCCCATGCATGGACACAAGTGCACATACCAGAAGCAATGAATTTTGATCTTGCAGTAACAGTATCAAAGTACTGAGGCCCATGCCTTGCCTCAGCCACACACACACGGGTGGGGGGAGATACCCCAGGAATAGGATCTATGTTTAGAGTGGGTCTGTCACTTGCTTATTTCGGACTCATCTGATTCTGAGGTGGGGGTGGGGGTAAGGTCACTGAAGTTTCAAGGTTATCTAGTGAAGCCGAGCTTGACAATGGAAGGAGCTGAAAGGTTTTTAGGATGGGAGGGAGATCAAATCGGGGAGATCAGATCCAGTCTTTAACCCAGGAAGGAGTTGACAAGAGAAACAGCTGCCCAATTAGAGGGTCTTCAGTATTTTCCCTGTCATGCCCTCAAGCAGCAAGAGCCATTCTGAGGGTGGAGTCAGAAGCTTTACTAAAAGAGAGGGACAGAGAGGAAGATTCCAGTTTGGATTCAACCTTTTACATGAGCAGATGCATCTCTTTCAACCCTGAGAGAAGGCTATTTAAAATTCATACTGTTCTGTAATCAGTTAAGTTTAAATTTAAAAAATGTACTTCAAGGGGTTGTCTTGAGTTTGATAACCAGAAGGAAAAAAGGAAGGGATCAGCTCATGACACTATGGTTTCTACCACACAACAGGAACCTCATTCCTAAAGAATCTCTGGAAGCAGACAGAAACCATCAACTCTCTGCTTCCTGGGATCCTCTATCAATAAGGTTTCTATTCTACATCAAGAAATGCAGAGCTTGTTCTTAAGGCATCTTTCCCTTCCACATTTGTTTTGCATGTGGGGGACTCCAGACAGAGCTTGGGAGGCTGTACAAAGATTGCACTTTCTGCAGTAGTTATGCTACATATAATGCTCTCCTTAGCCACTGTAACCCTGCTTAAAGTTTACAATAGCATCTATTGTATTTCATTGTATTTTATCGTGTTGTAAGCCGCCCCGAGGTTTCGGCAAGGGGCGGCATAGAAATGTTATAATAATAATAATCATCATCATCATCATCATCTCATTAAAAGTAAAAAGATCACAGTTCTAATTACAGTATAAAGCAACTTGATTTTTATTACTTACTGTGCTCTTATCTTTCAGAAGTTTCTCGATGACTTCAATTAATAATTCTTTTTGCTCAGGGTCAAGGCTAAAAATCAATGAAAAAGAATCAGATTCTATCATTTTAAGGTATTCTATAATTTTAGACTAATTATATACCCTACATGAAAATAATACTGAAGATTAGATGCAAGAATGGAACAGGGGAAATAGAATGAAAATGAACATTGGCATTTTTATAGACTTTTGAGAACGGAATAGTTTGAATGGCAACACTCAATGTTGCACAATTCAATTTATTTGAAGGTATGAAAATCCTGAATATAGACCTTTGAATCCTGTCCACAAAAATACAATATTAAAGCTCTATTTTAAATAACTATTCTATCAAACAGACTCAATAGATAGTCATTACTAGCGTAAACAATTGAATTCAATAAGTAAACAAGTATGACAGTAACTGGATCCACAGTTTTCATAGCTATACTGGATAAAGTATACCAGCTTTCCTAAACCTGGTGCCTTCCCACTCTCATCATTCCAAGCCAGTATGAAGATTTCAGAAGTCATAGTCCAACACATCTGCAGGGTACCAATTTGAGCAAAGCTTACATAAACTATATAGGTAGGATGACATTAAACACTTCATTTTGAATTATTTTTTCATCAGTCCACTTCGATAAAATTCGTACAACCTTTCACACATGCAACCTTGACAGGCTACCAACTATGTTAACACAGACCTTTTCGTCAAAGTCATTTTGCTGACTTTATGCCCATTAGCAAGAGGCAGTTATCATAAGCTGTAGCTAAACTTCATTATAACACACTCTACTGAGCATTAAATACAGCTCTTCTATATTTATAGCTAGAGAGAACTTACCTGTAAAGCTTTTGGATTGCATGGGCGGCATTTTTTCTAACATAAGGTGATAAATCAGTTGATGCCTCTTTGATAGCAAGCATCATAATCGGAACAATAATTGGCACTCTAATACTGGATAAAACTCTCAAAGCGCTTGCACGGATTAACTGATTAGGATCCTAAAATGAAAATAAGGTATCTGTTATCTTCAGATAAATGCACTACTAAAATTTTTATTGACACAAGATGTATGCGAGTGCACATGCATGCATACACATGCACATAATCTATTTCGTACGTGTAACATGGGCCTCCAAGAAGGGGAACAGGACCCAAAAAGTATTTCATTCAGTTCTCTGTCCTACCTACACACATCCTTAACCATATACCCAAAAATGGGTTTATGATTAAGGATATTAAGGACAGCGATATCCACTGTTGCTGGAGGACGACTGCCTAGCAACAGTGATGCATGCACTGGTTACTTCCCGGTTGGATTTCTGTAATGCGGTCTACGTGAGGCTGCCCTTGAAGACAGTCCAGATACTTCAGATGGTGCAAAATAGAGCAACCAGGTTGCTGACGAGGACTGGGTGTTATTCTCATATAACCCCAGTCCTCTACCAGCTTCACTGGCTCCCCATTGAAGTCCAGGCTCAAATCAAGGTGTTGGTTATCACTTATAAAGCCTTTAACGGCTTGGGATCTGGATACCTAAAGGACTGCCTGCGGCCATATTTGCCCTCCCGCTCCTTGAGATTGGCAGCAGAGGCTTTCCTCCGGGAGCCGTGAGAGAAATCAGGAAGCAAAGTACCCGGAGGAGGGCTTTCTCTGCGGTGGCGTCCCATCTGTGGAATGCACTCCTCAGAGAGGTCCACCTGGTGCCGTCGTTATTTGTTTTTCAGCGCCAGGCCAAGACCTTTTTATTCAAACAGTATTTTAATAATGTTTAATATTTATATATTTTAATTGTGCAGCCAGTGTGTTTCCAGGTTTTAACTGTAATTGTAATTGTTTTATTTATTTATTTCTGTGAGGCATCCTGAGGCTATGTAGCAAGGAGACGGCATATAAAAACTTTAAATAAATAAATAAATGGTACAAAAGCTTTTCTGCTACACAAAGTTTTTCATTAGATAAAATGAAGAGTAAGCCAATTGTGATATGAAAAAATGCATGTCTTCCTTAAGTACCCTGTGATAACTATATCTTGATAGGAGTATTACTAATTTCTTTGGCTGAATATTGAATTATTATTCATTACATTTCTGTACTTGCTTGTAGTCAAAGTTCTCTGGGCAGTTCACAACATTAACTCACTCAACTGAATTTCAACCAGGCCCAACCCTGCTTAGCTTCCAAGATTAAGCAGGATCAGACACTTTATGCTATATGGAATTATGATGAAGAAATCAAAGTAGCAAGAGTATTTTCTTTTCAGGTCTTCATTACTGAAAAGTGCCTTCCACATACTGTTACTAATACAAGAACTTTACACTTTTTATATGCTGATATAATCCTGTGAGGTAAATTGCCACTTTTCCTACTAGAATACATCAATCCTGATGATTTTGGACATGGTGCTGTTCAGTATAAAGATTTATACTGAACAGTATAAAGGACTTGAATTTTGCATGCAGTGGTTGAAGTTTCTCCCAACGTCTTGGTCTATTTTGATCTCAGGCAAAATTGTCCAGGGCATTGGGAGAAACCTGAACCATGACATCCAAGATTCAAGTCGAGTTACTCATACAATTAACAAAACTATTTCAAAAAGCAGCAGGACTGAGGTGTTGCAGTGGCACATGCTAAAGCCTTATGTTAAGAAAACAAGTTTCATGTGAGACACACATGCAACTCACACAGATATATACAGACATTATATTGTCTTAGAGGAATGTTATGTTTCCAGATATTATATTGTCCTAGAGGGATGTTATGTTTCCAGCCCAGGGAGATATATCATCAGAGCTATTTAGAATAAAACTGACGGAGAACAGAGACTAAAGGTACCGAGCACCTACAGCAGGTGCCCCTCATGCCTCAATGACAAGGCATAAATTTTAAGACCAATCCTGAATCTTAAGGACAAAGTCCTTTATTGAAGTCACTTCAAACAGAGACAAAAGTGACTTCATAGTTTTTAAGCAATCCCCTCTTTGACCAGCATTAGGCATCTGTCCTTCTCCAAGTCCAAGGAAAAGAAGAATGGATGCTACTCATCCTATTTCAAATCTAAAACATCCCATCATGTTAACAAGATCCCCAAGTCCCTGAACCACTGAGAGGTGGATGAGTAATTAATGACATCATACTAGACTTGGTGAACTGTATCTCTGCTATAAAAGCTAATTAATTTTAAATTAAGAATGAAAGAAAGCATACATGACAATATACACTAAATGTTCATGTTATGCGTAACAAACAGAATTAAATAAAGAAAATGACACATATTCAATATTGATGTATGACATGACATTTGTAGACAATACTGGCTACTAAAATAGATTTGAGCCACTGTGTAAGGGCAACCAAGCAAGTTAGCATAATCACAAGGCCTTACGATAATTAGATGATAGATTTTCTTCTGGTTTTGTTTTTCTCTGTTAAAAATAACTTACTTCTTTGAAAAGACAAACAACTTCCCAGGAAGCACTGCTAATTTGATATTTACTTACTTTCAGAGCACGCTGAAAAGTACTAATTGATAGCAGTGCTAGGTCCTGCTGTTCCTCCGCATAGCGCATCAGGTAGACATATACAAGTTTTTTAATCTGAAAAAGATTGGTTTATTTATGTTGAAATATTATAATTAACATCATTTAGAATTTACATCCATATAAATCTCCAGGTAAAAGTCTGCATTTAGAACTATGAAATAGTTTTTCTTAAGTCACAGATGTGAGGAACAGAAATTCTAAACGCCATGGGACAATAAATATATAATAAAAGGTTTCAAACTCTTAAACTGTCCTAAGTATTATAACTTAAAAGAAGTGCATTTTAGTTAAATTCCAAACATAACCTAAGCAAAGACAAAAAAAAGTCTTATGAATTGATCATAAAGGTTTATAATGGAAACTCTGAAAAACCTTTAACTGCAGCTCTATAATTATTGTCACTATCTGGAAAAAAGAGATGTTTTTCTGCCCATTCTGCCAAAAACCAAGATATTAAATCACAGAAGGTTACAAGGCAGTAAATTATTTGTTCTACTATGAACAAGCAGCAATCAACATTGACAACAAGAGGCCTGTATAGTGAATGCCTGCAGGTGTGCAGAGAAAGCCTCCTTTCCTTGAAACCACTCTGAGACTAGAGGCAGGAGTACTTCAGTTTCGTGACTGCACTGTTCTTTTATCATTTACCTTCATTCAATGTTACAGCACTCCTCCCTTTAAAACTAATAATAACAGAGACACATTAGAGTTGAGGAACACAGGCAGATCTGTTTAATTAGTTTATCAATAAACGTATATCAAACTTCATGAGTTATTGACTAAACCTTTGATTATTTCTGTTCTACACTGCCAATTGCTTTCTAGGTCACTTTTCTATATCTTTTGACATGAGGAATATAACTAAGTCTAGGGCGATGTGCTCTTATGAAAATGAATTTTACTAAAATCTATAACAAAGTGCCCTTCAGTAGTTTTGTAATGCTTCCCATCCCTGCCACACACACACTGTTCATTAAGCAGAATAAGTTAACTATAAAACCTATGTCCAAAACCTCTCCCAGATATATATACTTTGTTGCCAGAGCATGTAAGATTAAGGAGACTGGACAACACCCATTCCTAATCTCAAGCAGCTAAAATGCTGTTTGGAAATAACTGAAGTCTTGCTTGGTTATGCTGGCTTTTCCTGCAATTACCATGTTTTCCCAAAATAAGACCTAATCGGAAAATAAGCCCTAGCATGATTTTTTGCTCTTAATATAAGCCCTACCCCAAAAATAAGCCCCAGTTAAGATCGTCAGCAAGACAGACCAGGAAACACAGTAGTATGTCTGTTGCAACACACAATAGATGTATTGAATTATAAAATAATGTTAATATATAATTAAATATAAATAAATAATATTTTGACATTAATACTTAAAATAAATTATAATATACATTATAATTAACTATTTGTAAATACTGAAGTGAACGCCTTTGGATGAGAGGTAAATGCTTATGTAAACTGATGAACATGAGACTTATTGCTGAATGACCAGAGTACAGACACAACACGCAAATAACGTCAATACGTCATGTGTTGTGACGGATGTACTTAATGCACGGTTGCAAAATGCAAGATGGGTACAAAAAGAGCTATTCCGTCAAGTACAAAAAAGGAATCGTGGAGGACTCTTGGGGCAAGAATCTCATGACTTTTGTAAGAAAAAATAAGACATCACCTGAAAATAAGCCCTAATGTGTCTTTTGGAGCAAAAATTAATATAAGGCCCGGTCTTATTTTTGGGGAAGCATGGTAGCAGGCATTCTGAACCTTCAGTATGCCCTGAATAGGTTCTGCAGCGGAAACACTATAACTGTTTCAGTGCATTTATTTGTACAGCAAAAGTCCACTGAAAGATACCAAAAATTCTGAGTCAAAACTGTCAACAGCTGTACCTAATTTACAATGCCATGCAGAAGTGCCCTCCCATTGATTTTTCCACATTTTGTTTCATTACAACATGGAACTAAAATGAATTTAACTGGAAGTGTTAACACTTAGTATGCACAAGATACTCAGCATTGTAAGAGGTACAAAATATTTTTTAAAATTTTGGCAATAAAATGGAGCAGGTCTAACAAAAGCTGCAATGCTTTGCAAGAAGTATTCATACACACCTCTTCAACTTTTGTTGTGTTACAAACTGGACTTGAAATAGATTATTGCTTTTTGTTAAGTGAACAAAAAGAAACTGGCACTTGTTGGTTGCCCTAACTATCCAACCTCTATTGGGTAGAAACACCTTTGTCAGGAATTACAGCTGCAAGTCCTCTTGGGAAACTTCTTGTACATCTGGATTCTATAATGTTTGCATTCTTCCTGGCAAACTGCCTCAGATCTGTCAGGCTGGATGTGGACACTTGGTGAACAGCAACTTTCAAGTCTTATCACAGATTCTCTTTTGCACTGAAGTTTGGGTGTTGACTGGACCACTCTAAGATATTCAGGATCCTGTTTTTAAACCACCCCGGTGTTACTTTGATTGTGTGCTTAGGGTCAAATTTCTGCTGGACCACGAATCTCTGCTCCACTTCCAGGTCCTTTGCAGAATGAAACACGATTTTCCCCTGGAATTGCCATGTATTTACCTCCATCCATCTTGCCCTAAATCCTGACTAGTTTCATAGTCCCTGCTGAGGCAAGCATTCCCACAACATGATGCTGCTGCCACCATGCTTCAACATGGAAATGGCGTTACCAGAGCAATGAGCACTACTGGCTTTGAGCCACACACAGCATTTTTCAGCAATTGCACAAACACGTTCATAATTTATTATAATTTAGTCTTTGGTAAGTGCTTTCTTGCAGCTGTCCAATATGTATAATTTTTCATGGTCAATTTTCTTGTATGTTCTAGCTAGAAAGAAGCAGCAAAGTGGAGTAGAGAATATACACAGAAATTGACACAATGAGACTGCACCAGTAAAATAAAGTGCACCAAAAGTTGGGGAGGGGGGAATGGGACTGGATGACAGTATCTGCTATGGTTACTGTAAGTGTGCAAATTTCTTGTCCATCTAGTCCTCAGTTTTTAAATTGGTTCAAATTCCCCTTTCATTTGCTTCCCAGTCATTAAATGTGTATATATTTCTGCAGTTTCTTAAAGAACTGTTAGAAAACCACACTACGTACTTCAAAACAGAGCCATAAAACTGGAGAGGAAGAAAATAGTAGCTGCCCTTTCTGAAGCTGCTGGAGTTTCAGGGAAATGCTAAAATTGTGGAACATACTATGAACTGGCAGTTCAACACTTAAGAGCACAGAGGATTACATCACTAAGGTGGAAATACTGTCCCACCATTTTGGTGCACTACCCTTGCAGCTTGCCCCATTCTACCAGTGATTTTTAATTGATAATTTGGTCATTGACCATTGACAACTGTGCACAAAGTAGCCTATATATTGGTTCCACCTTGTAAATGTCCATATGGTACCTGCTACTTCTGAAACTGATCAGCCAAGACCATACATATTGGTCAACGGTAAGAATGCATTTGTGCAATAATGGAAATGGTGATGATGAAAATTATGAATTATCATCTCCCTGAGGGGTGGTTCTTGTAGAAGGGCCTCCTGAGTTGATCTAAGGGGGTGGGTGCAGACAGTTCTTTAGATACCCAGGCCCCAAGTCATGTAGGGTTTTATATGTAAATAAAATATTTTTATTTATATTTCTATGTAAATAAAATAAAATTGGATTACTGCCACGCACTCTACATGGGGCTGCCCTTGAAAACGGTTCAGATACTGCAACTGGTACAGAATAGAGCTGCCAGGCTGCTGAGGGGGACTGGCTGTTACTCTCACATAATGCCGGTCCTCTACCAGCTCCACTGGCTTCCAGTTGAAGTCCAGGCCCAATTAAAGGTGCTGGTTTTGACCTATGAAGCCCTAAACGGCTTGGGATCAGGATACCTGTAGGAACGTCTCCTTCCATATATGCCCTCATGCCCCTTAAGATCTATGGGAGAAGCCCTGCTCCGGGAACCATCTCTAAGAGAGGTAAAAAGGTCATCAACTTGGAGTAGGGCCTTCTCTGCTGTGGCACCCAGACTCTGGAATGTACTTCCCAGAGAGGTACGCCTGGTGCCAAGTTTATATTCTTTTCAGCACCAGGCCAAGACCTTTATATTTAAACAGTATTTTAAAATTTAACAGCTTTTAAGTTTAGTCTCTGTTTGTTATGTGATTTATTGTTTTTTTCTGTTCTATTATTTATTGACATTGTTTTAATTGTTTTTTTAAATATCGTAAGCCATCCTGAGATCTTGGCATACAAAAGCAATACACACACACACACACAAGCACCTTGAATTGGGCCTGGGCCACAACTGGTAGCCAGTTAAGTTCTTTCAGAACTGGTGTTATATGGGCCACTCTAGAAGTACCAGTTACCAACTGAGCAGCCTGCTTCTGCACCAGTTGCAATTGATTGATTGATTGTATTTATATACCATCCCCATAGCCCAGAGGGCTCTCTGGGTGGTTTACAGACATTTAAACCCCAAGTACAATATCCAGTCCTAAATAAAATAAATTGGCTACACCACAACTGAGTATAAAATGACATGGTTAAAATGAAGTAAATGAATAAAAATACAATTAAAATTAATTAGCTTTAAAATATTGGTCAAATAAAAAGGTCTTGACCTGGCGCCGAAAAGCATATAATGACAGCACCAGGCAGACCTCTCTAGGGACCATCTTCAAAGGCAGCCCCACATAGAGCATATTACAATAATCTATTTTGGAAGTTCCCAGAGCATGGGTAACTATTTTCAGGTTACATCTGTCTAGGTAGGGGCAGAGCTGGAAAATCCACCACAGCTGGAAAAGGGCACTCCTAGACACTGAGTCCACCTGATATTCCAGGGATAGACTAGGATCCAGGAGCACTCCAGACTGTGGACCCTGTCCTTTAGGGGGAGTGTGACCCCTTCCAGGAAAGGGTAATGCCCTCCTAATGTATCAGAGGCCCCCCCCCCACCTATGAGAAAGAGAGGTAGAGCTGAGTGTCGGCAGCATATTGCTGACTCCTCCGTCCAAGCCTTTGGATGACCTCTCCCAGTGGTTTCAAGTAGATATTGAACAGCATTGGGGACAGTACAGAGCCCTGCAGAACCCTATGACACAACTGCCATGGGGTAGAGTAACTGCCCCCCAGCACCACCTTCTGGACTCAGTCAGTCAGGTAGGAGCAGAACCACCACAAAGCAGTGCCTCTCACTCCTAACCCAGTCAGCCTGTCCAGAAGTACACCATGGTTGATGGTGTCAAAAGCCACTGAGAGGTCAAGGAGAACCAACAGGGTCACACTCCCCCATCCCTCTCCCTGAAAAGGTCATCGTACAGAGCAACCAAGGCAGTTTCTGTCCTGTATGCAGGCCTTCTGCCTTCAATGTGTAGAAGATATTTTCTGTTTTACAGCATTAAGACTGAAACAAATGGAAACATGAGGCCTGCTGTAAAAATGAAAGTACCATAATAATGTGCAAAGTCTTCTGCTAGTGAATATGGAATAACACCAGAGATTATTTACTTGTGTTCATTGTGTGCAGATTCAACCCTGCACCTTGGAAGGAATATCTGTTCCAGTCAATATAACAGTTGTATCCATACATCATACTAACCCATCCTGGGAATAAATATTTCCAGATATTTTTTTCCCCTTGGCAATCACAACAAAAAATGAGACATTTATGTTACCAGTTGTCATGTTAAATCTTGTGATTGTTTCCTCAGCTAGCAAGTGTTTCACCACTTTGCAATTTACCAATTTTACAAATACCTCAACATAAGAAGTTCCTACTTCAGTTCACTTTATTATTTCTACACTGTTTAACTGGAATTAAATTCTGATGAAAGCAATTTCATGGGATTGAGCTGGAAGCTTTAAAAGCTGCATTTAAAAATAACAAAATGACAAGATTTGTTACCATACCTCAATATTTTTATTTGCTACATTCTTCACTACAGCAGGAAACAATTCAGATGCATTTTTCCCTTTGGCAATCATCTTAAAACAAAAAATGAAACATGTTTTCAAATAACACATTATAATAATATTGGAAATTTTTCAGTTCTTTAAAGCTTCTTCATTTTTGAATACGTATGTCCTTTCAAAATTATTTAGTAGAGCAATGTATAAGGGGCAGGAGAACACTTGACCTTGTGACTCAAATATGACCCTCAGTGGTTGTCCTTTTGACTTAAGCTTCTTTCCCAAGACCAAGGCCTGGCACTGAGACAGGGAAGGAAGTTATTGGTAGTAAGCAGCCTTTCTTACTGCTCAGTACTGCGAAAGGGAGCCTTCCTCAGGGCACAGTAGGAAAAAAATATCCCCCCCACAGCTGATACACATGAATCAGTTGAGGAGGTAGGGCTAGGTAAAGACTGCTTGCAAGTGAAAGGCATACAAGCCTTTAGTAGGTGTGCAAGTGGTGCATGCCAGCAACAGCTATACTTGCTTTTGATTTATGACCACCGACATTCTAGCCCAGAACCAATTTGGCCCATGGGCTGAAAATGATTTCCCACTGCTACCATAAAGCTACAATGAAGAAAATTCTAAGCTTTTTCAAAGAAATATGTTTTAATTTATAAAACAAAATTATGCAAAATTGCCATTTCATTTCAAAATAATCAAGGGAATGCATCTAGCCATGTGAGCAGTATTTAACATTTTAAGATCTGAAAAATGTACCAAACATTAACAGATATGCAATAGTGTGGCTATTGAGCAACAACTTAATATGCACAGGAGGAAACTTGTGTATATCAGAATAATGCTGTAGTTTCCTTTCAGAATTGTTGGTCACAGTCTTCTTCCTTGCCAAATGCAACCTATAAAATATTGCTCTGATAATTTTAGTGGAAACCAAACTATTTCTGGAGATCACAAATACCAAACTACAAGGGAATTTAGACTACTGGATTTAATACTACAGTGTATGAAAAAGTTTCAGGTATATTTGGTGTAAAACACACCATTCTATTGTGATGGGATTTAATATTTAGAGCATAATTTTTAAACATATCATGGAAATTCACATGTGTAACTTGCATTATTTAACTGACCAATCATAATAGCTGCAGTGTACCATGTAAATATGTATTTAGGATGTCTTAAAAGCATATTTTGTCTCATTAAGTCATAATGATCAGTGTAAATCCTCCTTTGTTCATGGCTCATTAAGCCAAAAGAACATAATGGGTATTTCAAAGACTAAGATACCATTTCAATTTAGCAGCTTTAAATAGCCCATGTGAAAAGCTCCAGTCCACTGTATTTTATAAAAGAAGGATAACACTTTAAGAGTATGCAAGTTTCTTTACTAACCTGTTGCAGTTTTCAACATCATGTATCAACTGTCATGCACCCAGTGTTACTCTTTGCAGACAGCAATACAGCTCTTCAACCTAGTTATAAAAGCTTCTGTATAGAAGCTAATCTGGCAATTATAAAGGCAGGTTGTTTACCTATAACTGTTATTCTTCAAGTGGCCATTCAGGCTCTGCAACTCTATGGAGCCTGTTGCTAGGAAGATTCAATCTCGGTGGTGGTGTCATGCATGGTTTCTTTGTTGATTGAGTTTATATCCCACCCCATTAGCCAAAAAAATCTTTCTGGTTTCCCAAGTGGTTGGTACCACCTGGGAGTCCATCTAGTGCTGTTTAGACTTGGTGAGTACTGGATCTTTCGGTCTCAATTTTTGGCCCTATTGGCCAACTTTTTCTTAAGCTTTGCTGACTTGCCCAGAGTCTGAAGAGGTAATGCAGGCACAGTTGGAGCCATGGCTGTGGTTGAAAACATGGACCTCTGAAGAGGCTGCCACTGACAGGTGGGATACCTGAAATGCACCAGGGCATCAAATGCATGGAGAGTCTTGTTCCAGAGCTCCATGTGATGTCTGTGGACTTGTTTATTAAATGCCTGTCAATGGGGGCATTGGTCCATGGTGTGCCCCTCATCCAGGGCACAATGAGAATATCCATTCGTTGGAAACAGTTTAGTTCCATATCTCACACACTTGTAGAATGGTGCCTTCTATGCCATTGGGCAAGTAAGAAAGGCAAGGCAAGAGAGAGGGGGAGAAGGGAAAAAAAATTAAGGAGAAGGTGGATCAGACAGGGAAAAATGCAGAGGTTGTCTTTGTTGCTGTTTTTTGAAGGGAGGTTAAAAAAAAAGTGGCTAGAGGAAAAAAAGGGTATATATAGAGAGCTGCTCAGAAATATATTGAAAGAGGCAAGATAAGAAAAATGATCTGAGAGAAAAACTAAAGAATTTCCTGAGGCACTGAAAGCAGTTAAAGAATAACTGAGGGAAATGGTGGGAGCTCCTCCCTTTATATGGACACTGGAGGAGGGGAAGAGTTCCCACCAAATCACTCTTAGCTGTTGAATCATCCCAGCAATGGACTCCATGCAGGCATAGAGCTCATACAAGTATGTGTGATGCAGAGATACCACGAGGAACCTCAGTTTTGACACCTTTTAAGCAGTCTGTTCATTAGCTAATATACAACATGCACTCATCTGAAAGAAGACACTGATCTTCTTTCAGGATCTAGCATTAATCAATCATGAGTTCAATCAAACAAAATAGAAAAGTTTTAAATGACTGATCTAAAACAAGTACAAATATCTCATCAGTAAATACATGACCTGATGTCACATGCCTTTTAGAATACTCATTGGCTGGTTTTACTATTAGTTACCTTTTTCTATGTTGTTTTTAATTGCAATTAGGTCTACATGCAAAACATGCTTTGGCCTTGTGCTTCTTGAACAACAGTACCCCATGCTGCATATCAGATTCCTTTATGGGAAGATTCAAAACAGTTTGTGATATAACTTGGATTGGAGCTGGTGGTGATGTCTGCTGTTCTGGTGTCCACTGCATATACCCAAGTAAAGGGAGCTGTGACTGGACCCATGCTGACATTTGTTCCCAATTACCTCTTCTGCTTTTATTCCATAACCAGCCATTTCACAGGGTGTACAGAATGACATCCAAACAATCCAGGTTGTTTAGGGACTTCATAACTCAACAGTTAACCCAACAATAGACCATAGGTTAACCACTGGGTTATTTAGCTCCCAAACAACCCAGATATCTGAATGCATAAATGATACTCCACAAATTATGAAGATGACAGTTGCGGTTTATGCAGTAAAAGCAGCACTGGTGAGAATGTTGCAGGCAGTGCACCCGCTAGTCCACAAAAACCCATAGATTTTTAAACCAATGGGTTGTCACTACTTGTGAAACAAGTCAATGAGAACAATCATTCAAATAACCGCAGGAGTGCAGTCAAGAGGAAACATCTGAATTATGTCCAAGGAGCATAAGCAACACAGACATATGTCCACTGTAGCTTCCATCTGCCTCTCAAATAACATAGTTAGTCTGTTGTATTAACTATACTGTGTTCATAGGGTTCACACACAGACTTGCTACTTTCTTGAAGGAATTAGAATTGCCACATGATTAAGCAAAAGCATATTTCAGTTGATGGGTGCTTTTAACAATTTCACCACTTCCAAAATAAACCTGCACACATAGGACACATTTATGTATGTCTATGTCTGTTTAAAGTGTGCAGAAGTAAACTATTCTGAGCTGTCAGCATTATATACACATTAAAAATTTAAAAATACCCCAACAATTCTCTTCATAGCATCTAGCTTAGCAGAATCTTTGTTGCTTTCCAACATATGCTTCAGATCTTCATTTCTATAAAGAAAGAGAAAACAAGTGTGAAAGTCACTGGTATCACAATCTGGTTATGAGTTAATGAGGAAACCCAAAATATGTTCCAATGTGTTCCAAACCCAAAATGTGTTCCACATTTGCAATAGTGTCAATGTTTACCCAAAGAAAGTGAGATATTGGCAATGAAACTACTGAAGAATAGACTAGTTAAAGTTAGACTAGTTACAAATAATAGTTTTGAAGATTAAATACTAATGTAAGGTCAAAATATTACTCTATTACTCTACTGTAGTCTAGTTATTGCAATCACTTTTAAATATAACACATACACTTGCTACTTTTTAAACATGGAATGTTATTGATTTTATACAATGTGACTATGTAAAGCAACACACATACACAAATCATATACACAAATGTAATAACAGAACTTGTTGGTGCAAAAGACCTTCTTTACAGTTCCAGGCAAGGAGATGCTTGATTTTTATAGTATTTCCAAAGAAAAATGGAAAGAAATGACAAATTGCTTCATTCTGGTACTTGTGTACATAACTGTGGCAATTTTCTACTTCTGCACACCTGGATAGCAATAGTTTATGCCAAGCAATATATGTAAAGACTTCTCTCTTCATATTCATAAAAAGTATGCTGAATATACCTTCTAAAAGCATTTAAGGTGAATGAATGTTCAGATACTCACACATAGAATTCACACATTATCAGAAAGGAAAAGGGGACATAAGAGAGAAAGCAGAGAGAAAAAGGAAGTCAGGTTCTTCTTCACTAGAGGGGGAAAGCCATTCCTCTCTGTTAAAATCAAGCACATTTTCTCTTAACACTTGGCAGAACTCAAAGAGTTACTTTATACTGCAGTCCTATACATATATATCTGAAAGTAAATTCCACTGAACTCAAGGGGACTAATATCGGAATAGGCATTTATTGGCTTTAAGTATTAACTCTGTATGCCACCTCCAATTGCACTGACTGGATTCAGAAAGCAAGCATTGTTAAAATGAGAACAGTGTACCAAAAATAATGTAACATAATAAATATGTCAACACAGCATAACAATCTGTATAAGAGAGCAAGGGAGTTTCAATATGCACACATATCAAACAAAATGCATGCTGAAGACGTTGGAAAGAACCACTTGCTGCCTTTGATGCCTCTAACTGAGCAACTTATCCAAAACACAAAACATTTTAGACAGTACAGTTTCATCCAAGGCAGGATAGACACTACACTAGCAAATGGTCTACTGACAACTTGTCAGGATTAAGTTTCAGCTTGTTTTCTTCCACCCAGTCCTTCTCAGCTGATAAACAAGTGTAAGGGTTCCATCACCTCCCTAGGATCAGATGAATTTGAACAGAGAGCTGACTATACTGATAATTCAACAGCACAGATCTGACTCTACAGCACAAATTACTTCCCAGCCATTTCACACACATGCTGAAGAGCAGGAGTGACCAGATGGAGCATTATGGAATCCCAAAGATCAAACAGGCGGAGTAGTTGTGTTCCAGTACCACCTTCTGGGGCTCCACTCTAAGGAACAAACAAAACCAGCTCAACATGCCATCCACTTTAAGACTATTTCTATGCAACTGCTATGTGTGTTTGTGTAATTTATTCATTTATACATCTGTAAACTGCCCAGAGAGCCTCAACTATTGGGTGGTATACAAATAAATAAATATTCCTACAAGGTGCTCCAGAGGAAAGCACTGTATTGGATAGTACGAATATCACTGTGAAGTCCAGGGAAACCAGCAGTGTCACACTCCCTCTGTACTACTCATTCACAGGTGCTACTCATCCAAGTATGGTACCCAAGGTAACCAGACCAAAAGCCATACTGGGAAGAGCTAGATCAGGGTGGAAAACATCTTTCAGCCCAGGGGCAAAATTCAATTTCAGAAGAGTTGTTGGGGCTCACAATTCAGAAGCAGGTATGGTTGAAGGTAAAGAGTATGGGACCAAAAATACAATGCCCATCCCCATGTATTTTAGTTTAAAGGCCTTATTATCAATATCTAAGTCTTAAGAGGGATGTTTTACCTCTTAATTACTTAATGCGTAAGTAATTGCACAAAAGCCAGGAACCACTATACATTCAGTGTGCTGGGTAAAGGGAAATGGGCCACTCAGGAAACACAGAGGGGTGGATTTGGCCTGTGAGGCCTTTGGCCTGTGGGGCCTGACGCTGCCCACATCTGATCTAGAGAGCCAGTTTCATCCAAAATTACCAGAACAATATACAAGCAGTCCTCAGATTACAAATGAGTTCCATTCCCCAAGAACATCTTTAAACTGAATTTGCATGTAAGTTGGATCAGGTATCTACTGTCATATTTAGCATGAGTTAGCCAAACGTTTGTCTTCGTATAGGTATATAATCTATCATATTTAAATCAGGCCTGTCCAATCTCTTTCAGCCCAAGGGTGAAATTAGTACTGAGTAGTTCTCAGGGGCCACATTCCAGCACTGGGTGAGCCAAAGGCAAAGGGGAAAGGACAAAAATGACTACCTTAAAACTCAGGAGAGAGAGTTCAATCTTTTAGAATGTGAAAATATGTAAAGATAGGAAATCCACCAAACAACTGGTAACAGGGGAAAAGGGGGTGGACCAGGGTAAGGGAACATAGCTGTATAGCCAGATCTGGCCCGCAGAACTAAGCTTTAACAGCCCTGATTTACATCAACAAATGCTACATTCTCAGGAGGCCAGTTTGCTATTACTCCTTAAATGTCTCCAAAAAATATTTTATCCATTTGAACTAAAAAATAAAAAATAGTTCAAGTTATAAAACCGATGGCATTTTTGTGTTATTTTTTTAAATTGTTAGACATTTTTAAACATGGGAAGAAAAATACTTTTTTCCTTTCTTTTTAGCTTCTAGCATATGCACTTGATTACAAAAAGAGAGGGAAGCTTAATCAGTAAAAGGAATTCCAATACACTAGCCCAACCTTCCCTAGTCTAGTGTACTCCAAATGTTTTGAGCACAGCTCCTATCAGATCCAGCCATTATGGCCAGTAATAAGGAATGCTAGAAATTGTAGTTCAAAACATCTGGAGGGTATCAGATTAGGACAGACTGCAGTAACAAAACAAATATAAGCCTCCTCGTGAGATTCACCAGTAAATAAAATAAAAAGTAGTTGTTTTTCAGTGAGCGATACAACATACAGTTAAAAAAACCCCAAAAGATCCAGCTCAGGTTAATTGCCTTGTATACCACTACAACATGACATAGGTTAGTCTAGCTTTCCCTAACCTGCTGCCTTCCAGGCATTTTAGATTACCTGCATTCCTGACCATGATCCATGCTAAGAGTGATGGGGACTGAAGTCCAAAACATTTGAAGGTTGGGAAACATTAGGTTAGTCAATATTGATCAGAACCATATGCAAAGTAGTCATCATAAGAAAAGAGACAACTGACACAGATAATACTTACAAAATAACATTTTCCTCAAAGGGATCAGCAGAAGTACTAGTAATCCTGCTCTCTTCTATACTAGCCTCTGGTTTTAGGGTAACCTGGAGGGTTTCTGCTTTTTCAATAATAAATTTAACGCTGCAAGCAGCCCCACTCATTTTACTCAACAGAGAAGGCTTGTGTTCCATTCTTTTAAACATGGAATCAAGAAGTCAGCACTATGGTAATGAAACCTTCTTACAGTATCAGAATGGAATATGACTTAAAAACATATGAGGTAACAGGATGCCCACTCCCTTTACTTGAAGAAAATGTGTACTAAAAGGTCATTTCCTTACAAAAATATATCTTACCAGCCAACTCTAACGAACAATACATACAGCAAATGCTTTCCCCTCTTATCATACTGCTGCATTAGTTTCTCAACATGAATCAATAGGAAACATACCAGAAATTTCATATCATTGTAAAGCTGAAGCAAAATACAATAGATTCCCTAATTCCAGCTCATGCTGCATACTAATATTCTATTTGAAATCATTGGATTTCCCCCTCATTTCCTAGGCTTCTTTAGAAAGACTACCTTGATATGCATGCGCCAAATTAAAAGAAAAGTACAATTTATCTTAGTTGTATACACAAGTCTGGAAAGTATTTCAGTTACAAAACAGTGCTATGTGTGGAGCTGGAAATGATAGGAGATGAAGAGAGAACAAGATGCAGAGCAGTATACAATGCAACACTGTTGTTAATTTATGTTGTGCTAGTGTTAAACGACCTCTAGCACAAGACCAACAGCACTTGCCCGCCTGATGGATTTCCCAGGGAAACCTTGTACAAGCAGCTTAATTTATGTTCAGAGCAGTGTCACACTGGATATTGCCAATGGATCTACAGTCAGAATTCATGATCTAATGAAACTTAAAGTATACTGAAAACAGAAACAGGAACCAGTCAATTCTAAAGAATTTGTGTCTAAAAATTGCCACAAAAAAGGCAGACCCTTTTGCAAAGCTGAACCACTGATTAACATTTTACTTTTTTCTTTCTTTGAGCCCTTCTCTTTGAACAAGCAATAATTTTTGCCTAAATCCTCTCCATGCAAGCTTACTTTAACATTGCCTATATTTTTTAAAAAAGGAACTGTTATCAATATGTTTACTTTCTTCCTTGTTTCCATTTGCTCATCCCAGTGAGCCTACAGAACTCTTCAACTAATGGGATGGTTCTAGAGTAGATGAAGATATAAAAAGATGAAACATAATCCAAGATAGAGATGCCAGTGGTTGAAACACCAAACGATCTGCATGGAGATTTGCATTTGGTCTTCCATGGAGTCACATTACCCCAGAAGAACCAAGTTCATAGAGATCCTACAGAAGGACATAAACCAAGTCTCAGTTGGTGACATCCATACCACACTGGGATGGTTCTGAAAACAGTCTAGAAATCTCAACATGTGTCTCAACATGGCCATTCAGACCTTACTTGGGACATTTCAGTTGGAGCATATAACACCAATATTATGCCAGATGAACTGGCTATCAGCACATTTTCAGGTCTAATACAATC